AACAGAATAAATCATTCAAATGTCAGAAACTTCAGAATAAAGTAACAATTATATATTTTTTGTTCAATCAAAGTGATATAGAAACCAGACAGTACGAAATTTTAATATTTCAGTTAGCTTTGTTCCATATTATCCACGTATGGATTTCATTTTTGAATGAATATGACGAAATATGTTAAAAATAGAGCTGTTTTAAAAGTATTGACTTTCCTGTGTTATGGCTACTATGAACAACTTCAACATCAAGAAATCATTTAATCATATAAATTGAGAGAACAGGGCCATTTAAAAACTTATATTTCTAGAATCTGATTAAATCCCTTGAGTTAAAAACAATTTCATGCAGAAGAAAAATGTCATCATCATGTACATTTTTGATAAAAACATGTTTAATTTAAAAATACTTTAAAGGTTAATTAATTTTAAATTCAAACGAAAATACATCACTATGATATTCTTTCAATGGGCAATGAAACTTTTGAATATGAATCTGAATTTTATTACCACTCCCGCATCACATATTATTTGATTCTATTGACAAATACTTCGGTCTAGATAATTTTGATGAATCTTTTGACTGAATGCTTGAAAAGACCATATTTATACTTTAAAGAGGAATGTCTAAATGTTAAAATGTTATTTATTCTGCATATGATGTATCTGATTGCAAGATTAAGAAGAGGAAATCTAATGTAATTTCTCAATCAAAAATATAAAACTTTAATGGTGCTGTCAGAAGTTCGTTCTAAAATCGGATAAACATTTATCAGGTTAAACATTGAAAAATGCCAAACTAAACGTGTCTTTTGTCGAGCTTCAAGGATGTGAAATTGAAAACGTAATTAAAATAGAAATGCTTTCTTAAATGTTTGTCAAAACAGGGATAGTCAAAAATTAAGAAGAATTGCATTCACATAGACTTGTATATGCAAGTAAAATAGTTGACTGTAAAACTTAAAATACAAAGGGAAAGGGCATACTTTTGTATGCTTCAAATGAAGCAGTAGAAGTACAAGTTAAATTCATCTAAATCTTTATTGAAGTCAAAATCCTTTTTTATAGTTTCAATTTCACAATACATTTTACAAACTTTTCACTTCTCGAGTGACATGTGAAAGATGCATACTTTTGAGAATAATTTTCGGCAAATAATTGCATTTATCAACATTAGCGAATTCCCTTGAATTATTTTTATTCTTATATGAGTTTTAGAAGAAAACTTAGTGTTGTTCCCTATGGGAATTTCAAACTCTATACCATCTCCTATATCTCAAGTATATATATATGAAATATCCTCAGGCTTAAAACACTCATAGAAAATTGAAGTATGACTTTGGAAAAGCAATAGACACCTACATTTTGTAAACTACGTGTTTTTTTTTTCCATGAAAATCTCAGATTCCTCATCTTAATGCTTGTGTTAGGATTTGAGAGTTATTGATTAGTACTTAATTAACAAGCCCCAGATGGGTTTCATTGTTATAAAAGAAAATTTCAATAAAGCAGAGCTTCAACACAGCTGCCGTAATGTGTCATTATCATGATGCATTCCTCCTTCCCAATATCTTATATTACGTAACAAATCCCTTGTATTTCAGATCACAGAAGAGAAATTAATACATTTTTTGGGGGAAAAAAGAAAGCATAAAATGTTTTGCAATTAACAAGCCTGAAGAAAATAAACAGATGCAATTTAATCTCCATTGTTTTTTTTCTTCGTTTTCGTAGAGCAATATCGTGATGAATTGACAAGATATTTCAAAGATCCGAGCATGGATAACATAATTTCCCCTCTGCAACAAATCAGGGATAATAGTATGTTGTGTGTTTCAGTACAGTGCTTATGTATATGAATCATTCTAAACGAGAATATAAAGAACTATATAACTAGAAACTTTGCAAATGTGAGCAAAGCAATTACATGTACATATGTCACCCCGAAAGTACACAAACACTACAATTTTGAAGTTGAAAGCATGGTTACAGTAGCAACTTCGCAACTTCTATTTTAAAGTTTTGAAAAAATTCAAATTTTCCAAAATTTATCCTTTGTGTTTCAAAAGCAAAGGAAGTTCATTTTGGAAATTTTAAATCTCCCAAAATTGGGGGAGACATTAACACAATATTATGCAGTCTGAAATACTTTTGAAGGAAAATAAATAAAATTAAAAGAAAACCCCTACAAAGTTTGTCAAACCGATCTCATTTTTTTGTTTTTGTCGCAGAAACTAGTTTGACGCGTTGCAAAGAGTTATCCTTTAAAGTTTCATAGAGACTGGCTGACAGTTACTGAAGAAAAAGAGATTAAAAGTTTTCATATTCCTTATGTTCCATAGCAATGATCCTCATTTTCAAAATTTGAGTGTCCAAGAAATCTGCAAGAAAGTCCGCGGAGAAAAATTTTTAGAGAGAACAATCACTACACGTCGTCCCGACTTTATTCGGGTGACATAAATAACATAAGAATTCATGTGTTATCATTTGTAAATTTTATTTGAAAAAAGAAATTTTTTGAAAATTGTAAAAACGGAAGTAATTTAACACGAAAGAATTCAAGGCAAAGAAAACTTTTCACTCAAGGCTCTTCAATTAATTTCATTTCTCCTCCAAATCTCTTCATAGAGATTCAGCATTACATATGGATTGATAACAAAACAATACACTATTTTTGATATTCATGAAGTTGAACAGAAACTGCTCTATTTGTAAGCAAGTTTAAGCAACTACATGTACATTTTACTTGTTTATAATTTCCTTGCATCCTCTTTTGTATGGCATGTTTGTGTTTTATTTAAACAACTGAAAATGCAATTTTCATTCAAAAACAAAAGTTTTGTAGCATATGAAGGATAACACCTATTTTATCTTCAACGTTAAAACGTTAAATACCCGTGAACACCTTTTGGTCAGAGGAGTTTCTGGAAGAGGTGATGTAGAATCCCAATTATTACACAGGTTTGATGACTGATTAATTATAACAAAAACAATTTAAATCGCCTCTTTTACGATATACTTTATAAAGGTAATAAATTACACAGTTGATTTGTCTGAAGCGTGAAGGGTTGATGAAAAAGTATAAAAAGTATAGCAACTCATTCCCAAATTCAGCAGTGGTATCGCAATTACAGTTATAACTAGATGGTTAATGTGACACAAAGAGAAGCTCTAGCGATCTTTGTACAGTGCTTTTACCGTAAATCAGAGGCACAGAGACTATCGTAAATCTACTTTTTGTTTCAAATAATAGATGGTGTTTTATTGAACTTTATCAATGAAGAGCACAAGTTTACTTAGCAATGTGTATCAACAGAAGACTCTGAATCAGCACTGTTCACGAAAGGCAATTATCACATCATGTGTGATAAAAATAAGGAGAGTGAATTGTTTTGCCTATTTTCTCACATTATCACTGCAGTTTATCTCTTAATTGTCGCTTTTACATTGATGTTGTATTAACTAAACAGAGCAAGTTGATGACACTTCAGTTAAAGCAAACTGTTTTGTTATATGATGGGCTGTAGGAATGTGAAATATAGCTCTGTTGTTATTCCTTAATCAATTAAAGAAACAAAGTAAAAAAAAAAAGAAAAAAGGAAGAAAAAACAAAGCGTTAAGGTGCTACCCTTAAGGCAGTCCGTTCCTTAAGTTCTGAAAAATTGAAAATGCTCACAAAAATGTCACTACAAATTATTTATCTTAGGGGTTGATAAGCCCCTTATTTTTCCAAGTACAAATTATTTGCCGCTGTAGTTCTAAATTACGGTCAGACGACACGTTTCTCAATAATATATAATTTTTTCCAAGAATTTGCCACCAAATATTGCTACTTTCATGTTTCCTGACAAAAAATTAAGGTACCTTACCAGACATTTGTGCGAGAAGCAAGATGATGTTTTTTACTATATAATCCTACTGGAAATCACTAGTATCGCCAATATCACTTTTGGTGTCTTTATTTACTTTTGAAAACATTTTGAAAAAACAGTTAAAAAATCACAAGATAACGATAATTTTGAAGAATTTGTTGTATATTACAAAGAGATACTCGTGAAACATGTTCTTATTTGAAATATAGTAAAACACACGGATTAAATTTTTATATATAGAAAATACATATGGCTATTCAACAGTAGTACCACCTCAAGATTCTAACATAGAGCTAAGATTTGAGGAAAGAATTTCTTTTACGCGAAGAATATACGCTGTATATTTAGCTGAAGGTTTTATATTACCAAACTGAGAGAGGAAGTCAATAATTTTTAAAAGAATATATGTTGACTATCAGAGTAGAATGTTGTTTACAAGAAGGGTTATTTATTGAAATAATGTTCGCAGTGAAGACAATATTTTACTGTAAAAAAAGATTATATTAATGTAATTTTTTTTTTACAGTTTGGGTAGTTTTAAGTTTTGCTTTTTATTTAATTGTTACAAGTCTCCGTCAAACCACTGAGCTCGACCACAAGTCTCTTTTCATGATTTTTATGGTCAATTCTCCTACTACTTTCACGAAAAATTGCGTATACATACGCATATTAATCACTAAAAGCCCATTAATGGCGAAATGAGAAAGAAAACGGAAAGTCGATATCCCAATTTTGGTAAAAAAAAAAAAAAAAAAAAAAAAAAAAAAAAAAAAAATCAAGATGCTGAAAGCAATGAATGATTTTTTTTTAAAAGAATGTCTTCATAATATTTTTTGCTTAAATTAATTGACCGAAGTAACAGAACAATCATTTCAATACATTTGTGCGAATGTAATCACTTAAATTACTTAATAATGGAACTGGTATGGATAATATTAAAACTGCTGTACTTTTAAACCTGAATAAAGCCCAAATACACGTAAAGGTTTGGGACTTAAAAACAATGTATTATTTACTCAAGTTTCACGAGATTCAAAGTGATTTGAAATCTAAAATCATCAATGATAAAGAACATGACATTTCTAGATTTCCGAAGTGGCATAAGTAACTTCGACACAGTATTTATATACGTACGATTCTATGATGAAGGTTCTCAAATTCCTTTTCTGTTATTGTCCCATTCAAAGCTACTCTCCCTCGTCCTAGTGAAAAGTATTCCTTCTTATTAGAGTTAAGATTCCCAGAAGAAACAGACTTTGGCGCCTTTTCCACGACGATCGTCTGCTTTGCGGCGTTGCCTCTCTTCCGCTTGCTGGAGAACATGGTTATCTTCTGCAATATTCTCAGAAATGACGCCATTCTCTCACCTGGCGGTTTTCTTATAGGTATCCTGTCGCTTTGACCTCAATACGCAAGAAAAGCAATCGCCATCACGTGATTTTTTCACTCAAGTCTCCATCCAATGCGCCCATAGTTTAGGTTTTTGGTGCTAAACACTTGTTATATATATGAAGTAAATAGTATTGATTTCCAGCCATTCCCAAAAGAGTGAGGCCATCTAGACAAGAAAACTAACTTTGGCCAATATTGCCTAATTTCACGACTGCAGATCTGTTTTATTATGTAGAAGGTCGCTTTGGGTTGAACTGAATTTCACCTATAGTAATACAAATATTCAGAAAAAATCTCAGTGAGATTGATGTGTTCCGAACTGTAAGCGATCAGTCATCATTCGTGAGCAGAATTTCCACGTTACTGTTGACATTTCTAAACCTTGTTGCCTTTTTGATTAAAAGCCACTCGACGTTTATTTTGCCAAATAAAACAGACCGTCAGATTATTATGTAAATGACGCAGTTCTTCATTCTGCAAATACTGGAATTCGAAAAAACCAGCATCTGTTGACTCTTCAGCACGAATTAATTCCAGGACGATTAAAATGCTGCTAAATTTAGGCTTAAGTCAAACATAAATGGGGGAACTAAAACAGCCTTTTCTCAAAGAATGTAACGAACGGAAATAACGCAACATAGGTACAATTTACCAGTGCCTTGTTTAAATAAGTGACAAAAATAACCATGAGTCTTTGTGGCCAAAAAAGAAAAAAAGACTCCTAAAGGTTGAATCTAGCCATTGTGCAGTTTTATAGTCACTTTTCTTGTCAGTGAAAAACGTGAAGACAACGAACACGTCATAAATCCAGTAAACAAAACGAATCGTAAACAGGGCAAGTACACGGACCATTGGAAACACCGTAAACAGGGCAAGTACACGGACCATTGGAAACACCGTAAACAGGGCAGGTACACAGACCATTGGAAACACTGTAAACAGGGCAGGTAAACGGACCATTGGAAACACCGTAAAGAGGGCAAGTACTTGGACCATAGGAAACACCGAAAACAGGGCAGGTACACGGACCATTGGAAACACCGTAAACAGGGCAGGTACACGGACCATTGGAAACACCGTAAACAGGGCAAGTACACGGACCATAGGAAACACCGTAAACAGGGCAAGTACTTGGACCATAGGAAAACCGTAAACAGGGCAAGTACACGTACCATTGGAAAAACCGTAAACAGGGCAAGTACTTGGACCATAGGAAACACCGTAAACAGGGCACGTACACGGACCATTGGAAACACCGTAAACAGGGCAAGTAAACGGACCATTGGAAACACCATAAACAGGGCAAGTACACGGACCATTGGAAACACCGTAAACAGGGCAAGTACACGGACCATTGGAAACACCAGCTGCTTAGGAGGAGTAAGCATCCCCTGCCGACTAAAATTCACCAAAGGGGAGGGGGAAAATTATCATAATTGTTCCACCTCTAATTCTGTTAGCAGGATTTCTCGCAGATGGCTTAAACAATCCCAATGAAACTTTACATTATTAATAACTATCTGACATAACTGTGCATGCTACATTTAAAATTTTCAAAATGGCCATCATTGCCAAGGAAACAGAAAACATGAAAGTCTTAAATCTCATTTTTCTCAGTTACTGTCCTGCCAATCCTTTTGAAATATTAAACAGTTATTCCTTGCATCAAGTCAATCTGATTTCTTGAAAAAAGGTAGATTTTTAAATTTTTTTAGAGGTATTTTAAACTGCATAATGTTGATCTTTAAATGGTTTCCCCAAAGTTCTGAGGTTTAAAATTTCCAAAATGGCTGCCATTGTCATTGTAAAAATGGGTAAATTTCTGAAATTTCAAATGTGGCAAAATCTTGAAAAAGTAGTTTGGGACTCTACTTTTGACTCCTATTTTACATTGTCGGGGTTAGTTAGGGGAGATATATGCTTGAATTATAATGTAGAAACTTTGCTTGCAATAGCAAAGTTTCTATTTCAAGTTTTGTTAAACTATAAAATTTGAAATGTGCTTACCACCAAAGTTTAAATCAAAGTTATTTTCAACTTATAAAAGAGGGAAAAAAGACTGTATTGTTTGGAATATTTATATGCTCGTTGACCATTACTTAACCGACTTTCCGTTCGTGATAATATTTGTTGATCAAAAACACACTCGGGTTCAAAACTCTCTGAAACATGGGGAATACCCAATAGGTTTTTTTATGACGCGTAATTGGCTTTATGAAAATAACGGGATGTCGATCCCGAAGGATACCAGTATATTAGGTACTGTTGAAGTAAAGAATCGGGTTCACTAAGTATACAAGAACGTTAACACAACACATAAAATCCAGAATCTTGCAATACATTATATCTAATCAGATAGCTGAGATTGTATTATTATTCTACGTTACAGACCTAGCCTCAATTCTGAAAAAAATGACGTAGATATAGTGTTAAATAAAGAGAAACGATTAGTGCTTACTTTTATTGACGAGACAATTGAGGATCCGTCAGGGGAGGCATAATATAAAAATAAGACCAACAAATAAATTCTATTAGACGGAGATAATTGATCGTGTATTCCCCGGGGAGTAAATTACTAGTCTGTCCAAACACTCCGGCGAAGAGTTACAGACTTATTTATCTATCTTTATATACTCCTTATATATCTATTTATTTGTTTACTTCTCGTGGAGATATTCGTTTCTCCGTATTGTCATTCGATGCTCCTTTCAATAACAACATTTAAAACATTTGGCAAAAGAACAGTCACGTGATTAGACAGCCACCGTGAAGGACTTGCATGATTAATTTTTTTTAAACTTAGATTTTTTTTTCTTACTGGAAAAGTGATATTTTTTAAAAGATAGAAATACAGTGTCATGTACTTTTGTCGCCTGCAGAGCAGAGCGACACTTAGGGATCACTTTACCCCGCATCTGGTCCCCCGTGTGGCGCAAGAGTGTTTGCTCTTGGGTCGCGGAGTAAGGAGATGATTCTTACGTCGCGGGTTCGAATCCCACTGCAGGACGTGGAGACCGATCCTTTGGATGAGACTGTATAAACCGAGGTCCCGTGTCGCAGTAGGTGCTGGCTCGGAAAAGATCCCTCAATGCTCAATGGCCCTAAGTGCCGAATATAGGTCTAAATTTGCAGCCAACAAAAAACAAACAAACACCGCGTCTTTTTGTCTGTCTGTCCGTCTGTCACAATTCATATCTCGAGATCTATAAGAGGTATGGATTTGATATTTTGCACATATATTGCTTGGGATAATGGTTTTTGTAAATTACAATTGTTACTGACCTCGTTACCCTTGACATTTGACGTACTTTTCAAAATAGTACATAGTGCCGATATACAGACTGTTTTTGACATTTAAGAGGTTAAGTCTATGCTATTTAGCACTGTTTGTCATTGAAATATTATGAAAAATACCAGCGGTATAATCCATTTGACCTTTGACCTACTTTGCAAAAAATATCCCGGACAGTTTAATTTAAATTTTGAATTTTGAGAGGCAGGGCTTTGATAATTAGAATTTATACATGTTTATGAGCTCATGATACTGTATGCAGTATGAAATTCAGATACCATACAAACTTATATTTACATACTATGAAAGTACCTCGGGATCGGTATTCCACAATGGATTGATTGATTGTATTTTGTTTCACGTCCCTCTCGAGAATTTTTCACTCATATGGAGACGCCACCACTTGCCGGTGGAGAGCTGCAAATTTTGTCCTATACTCGGCACTTACGGCCATTGAGCAGTGAGGGATCTTTTTCGTGCCAGCACCTACTGCGACACGGGACCTCGGTTTATACGGTCTCATCCGAAGGACCGGTCTCCACATCCAACAGTGGGATTCGAACCCGCGACGTAAGGATCAACTCCTTACTTCGCGACTCTAGAGCAGACGCTCTAACCACTGCGCCTCGCGGGCGACCACAATGGATCGTGTAGACTGACAATTGCAGTAAAGACGATGAAATCCTTTTTGGAGGATTGTTAGAAACACGTACTAATAAAATGATTAATTATTTCTAATAATTTCAATTTAATTATTCATTTGAGGGTTGGGAACCATATTTTCTTTGATTGTCAGATTCTATCGCATATACTATCCATTCACGTGTTTGCAGGCAAATGCATGGACTATCATGTTAGTAGTAAATAAATAGATCTTAGATTTATTTACATCTTGAATGAATCTACAAACCAGGCGAGAAATGCGGTCCTTGAAACACTCTAGAGTCTCATTATAAATACAATACTAGAAATGCCAGTCGGTATAAGATACAATACAAACTGGGAACGTTCAATGAAATCATAGCTTGTACGTGATAATGCGAGACCTTATAGTTCAGATTGTCGTGCACAATTCAAGTTATTTATCGGTTATTTAACATTCTCCAAGGGAAATACATTTTCCTTTTTTTATGTTTTCTATTGCAAATAGCAAAATTACGTCTATTTTGAATTTGATAAAATTATAAAAGTCTCATATAAAATTCCTTCATGTTGTCAACAAGACTTAAGACAATGATATTTTTATAGAAAATGTATGTATGAACTAAATGATGGTGTTCTCACACGGACATAAAACAAACAACCATATCTAAGAGTGGAGAAAAAAAGCAACTGAGGAATGACTTTTCTCAAATTAAACAGGAATTGAGTCTGAATGAAGAGCGATCGAATCTGGCTCCAGATTGAATTTAATGTTTCACCTGCATTCAATCTCGGTCTTAAATCAAGCGGAAGCGTAGGGTAGACATTTTTAGTACAAAGAAGACATGACACAGCAGTGCTGCACAATTATGGTTCGTAAGATTTCGATATAAAGATGATTTGCAGTCACTTTACGACACACTTCCGGTTTCTGGCAAAAACGCCGGAAATCATTAAGGACAATCACGATACATCGTCATTGCATGAATAGAGTTAAATGAATATTTATTCGTTATTATACAACATTATTACATTGTAATCCTTAATACCAAGTTTTCAAAGCCAGTCATCTGTTAGTTACAAGTTAATGGTCGATATAATAAAGAAAATAAAATAAGATTTTCTCCACCAAAGAC